GGCGGTGCCCCCAGGCGAGAAGGAGACGGAGCGCGAGGCCCCGTTGCGGCCCACCTGCGCCGCCACCCCCCGCCCTGGCCCCCTTTCGAAAAATAGTCTGTGCATAGCCCGTGCCCTTGTATAGCCCACACCCATCCATTTTTTTGTAAAAACTTGTATAACCCGTGAGCTATATGCGATAAAATATGGTAATTAGTTTACTCCAGCCTAATGGGGCTGCACGTGTAGATGCCAAGATATTTACTGTGGAGCAAATTAGGCAACTGCAGTAATTGTTTTGTGCAGACACCCCCCTAAAGTCTTGTCAAGTTTATATGATTTCTCAGGACTAAGATTTTCCTCCTCTGGGCTTTTTAGTACATAAGGGATATATGCGCACAGATGATGATTTGAGGAAATAACCATTACTACTACTTGATCAAAAAAAGAAAGAAATAGAATGTGACGGAGTACTCACAATGCATACCAATCTGGATCCCCAGTTGCATTACACATTGTGAATTCTTCAAGATGTATAGACCTGTTATTTCTGCTAACAGCTTCTACTGGATATGTTAGGTGGCAATATCTTTTAATGCCCATCCGCTATTTTGGCATTTTTTCCAATGCCCTTCAACTATTCGTATAAAAAGTTACTGACCATCTTAGAAGTATGTTTAGCATAATTATGTTTAAGATGGTCATTAAGATATCCATTCTTTGTCATAGGACATACAAGTGCTTAGAGAGCTAGTACCCTTTGCAGCCATTACAATCCTCCCTGGTTAACAGCTGCAAGTCATCTCTTGGAAGCTCAAGAATTTGAGGGGGAAAGTAAGGATAGAAAGGAGGGAAGCAAATAATGGCTAGGAAAAGGAGACTCTGATAGAATAAAGGGATGCTGAGCTATGAATAAAGGTAACAAATTTTAGAGCACAATAGAACAAATCATTCCAAAATCCACTTAGGAATAGTACATTATGGAGGTACCCCTTATTCAGTATGTGATGTATTTATATATAGCATTTTACGTAACAATCTTACCACCTCCCTTGCGTTATGTATTTGCTTTTAGTGAGAATGCCAATGTTGCATGTGTTTGTTCAAACAAATCCTGCAATGACAACCTTCCCCGCCCCTTCCTCCCCCCCCCTCCCCCCACACACACATCCCTCCCTCCCTTGGCCTACCCCTGTCCCCGAGAAAAGCACCTGTATGGTAATAGAAGGCTAGGTTGCGTGGTGTTATTATTCATAACTTTAAATGGGATGTGTAGGTAAAGCAGCAAAAGTATATTTCAGACACTGCATTAGCATTCTTATTTTCATTGCAGAAATGTTTATTTTCTTCATTTTTAAAGAATCATGTTAAAGGTCTCTGAAAGGATCCTGACAGCAGTGTGAGAAGTAGATAATGGGTAAAGGTACTGTATGAAGTTAGGTGCAAGTCTAACTAATGGCTCATTATGAACAAGGGAGCAGTGATTGAAGAGGGTGAAGAATGAGACAATAAAGGGCTCTGATGCCACTGTGAAGAACAATCATGTATTAGCCCTAGAAAGAACACTTAGGCAAGCCAGTTAATTATTGGTATTATGGGAATGCCCAGAGGCACAATGAATGGTCTCTGTTGTGAAGAGCTTGGAGTTTTACCCAATGTAATAGCATGTGTGCCTATTTGGCCATTGTCTCAATCATTAGTAATTTCACTTTTTCTTCCGTGCATTTCTTTACATGGGCATTATGTAAACAAATCCGTACTTTGGTTTCCTTGAACAACCTTCTTGTGGTGCTTCACTGAATGGTGATCTCTGATCTGAGAACCAGGTCTGTTGCCAGATCTCAAGTAGTGCTGTGGAGGTAAGGATGGCTCTTGGTAAACATTTGAAGCTTTCTCCTTTTTTTAGGGTTGAGTGTACAATGGAACAAACTAGTAATTTCATCAGAAAATAAAAATATCAATAGAAGCTATTTTATAAGCTTTCCCATAAACATGAATTTGTCCTTATAGTCCAAATGAACAAGTTCACAATGCTTATGGGACTCAGTTGTTTAAATAAATTAATGGACAAATATTAAAATTCTACATGTTTCTTATCCCAAAAATGACACTTACTATGTAGTCTTTAACTAGTTACACCTTTGGAAATTTATCATTTAAAGTGTTATGGATATTCTGGCAATGACTGAAGCCAATTTTCTGCTGCAGAAGGGGTTTCTTCTTTCCCTTTTATATGCTTTATAGTATTTTTCTTCACAGTTTCTTTTTATACTTGAAGGACATGACTTGACCTACTGCTAAGTCATAGGCTGTGTTATTGGTTTAAAACTTGATCAACAGTAAAATTTATCTTTTATACTACATGGCCTGCAAAGTATTGGATTGCAGCTCTGTAGCTAAGAAAACAGCTAACCACTAGAAAGAATAAATAAAAGTGTGACATCAGTTCTTTATTGTAACTTTTTTAAAGAAACTGAAATAACTGGGTATTCTAGAAAGTAAAAAGCAAAAAGTTTTGGTAGTAAATATGGTTGCTGTCTTTTAATGGGGATGTAGATGCCTTAATTGTTGCACAGCTTTAGAAATTATTGACAACAAATGCAGTATTGCATGTTATACAGGTGGAGGATTTCTCTTATATTCTATTGAGAATTAGTAAGTAGAGGTGCTCTGATGCATCAGTCCGATGTTGGATCAGCACCGATATAAAGAAAATTGATCGTATTGGAAATTGACGTGATGTGGCTGATAATTTGGGTGATAAATGCCTGTGTTGCGTGCACAGCCGCAGCGCGGCACATAGGCAGCGAGGAGCACAGCCTGGCATCTTGGAGAGTTGCGTGCAGCTGATAAATCTTGTGTGGAGGAAGGGGTGTAGGGGGAGGAGTTCAAGGCCCCTGTGGTGAGGGAGGAATGGGGTAGGGGCTGGGTCAAGCACTGCCCAGTGGGAGCGGGACGGAGCCGCGGCTCATCTAGTGAATGTGGGGGAGCGGGGCGGTTCCTGCTGCTGCGCACTGCTTATCCAGGAGCCACTTGTCGCTCACCCGCTTGTTCGGCTGCTCCCGCCGCTCATCTGGGAGGGCATGGGGTGGGGGGTGCCCCCGGATCTGTGTGGGGCAGGCTGGGGCCAGGGCTGTGTGGGGCTCTTCCTGGCCTGCCCCACTCTTCCCCACGCAGATTAGGAGGTACACAACCTCCTCCCCCCCGTTCCCTCCCAGATGAGCAGTGGGAGCCACCAGACAAGCAGCTGAGTGCTGGACAGCTGGCTCCCAGATGAGCAGTGCGCAGTGACACAAGCGCTCCCAGCCTCCCAGCACCCCCTGGATGAGCTGCAGCTCTGTCCTCTGCCCGCCCTGTCCCAGCTGGGCAGTGCTTGTCCCTGCCCCAGCCTCAGCCCCACCACGGGGGCCTTGATCTGTCCCCACCTCACCCCTTTCTTCCCCCTTCTCCTTCCACCACACCAAACTTAATGGCTGCACGGCTCTCTCCAAGCTTCTGGGCTTGTATCAGAAATCGGATCAGTATTGGCCGATAGGCTTCCTTAAAAATCGGCTATCGGTATCGGCCCCAAAAATCTATTGGTGCACCCCTATTAGTAAGGTGTGTGTCTGTTACACAGAGGAAGTTGTGCAGATTTTTGAGGCAAAATATAATTTGAGTGGACAGGGTAAAGGTGGATATCTGACCTGTTGTCAAACTTACTTTCTAAAGGAAAGAGGTAGGCATAGTGGGGGTTCCAGTCACTATGAGGACACTGAATATTTTGATTTTTATTTCCTCATCACCTTGATCTTCATTTCTCTCTCTGTCATTATTATGACCCTCACCCATCAACTCTGGGGCGGGGTTGTCTCTCTCTTTTCAAATTGTAAAAACAATGCCTCATACGATGCGATACTCATCCTTAATGGATGTTTTAAGCATTATTAATAAAAACTAATCTCCTGTGTGGGGAACTGAAATTACTTCCAGCCCAAGACTTTAAGGAGATGTCTAAGAATTCTTTCAAATTCTTCAGTGGGCACGTCCCTTTTGTTAATGCGCATTAAATTTAGTACTTCCATTGTGAGGTACTAGGAAACTGTGTATTAGCTAGCCTGTCTTAATGTGCATTAACTAAAGAGCACAGTTTGTTTAGTGACACCTTTTTAATGCACATTGAAATAGGTTAATGTGCATTAAAGTGTATGTGTAGACATGCCCAGCAGCTTCTGAGATATCTCTCTCCTATTTCTCCAACTACAAAATTATTTCCTACACTGCTAGAAATTAGTCTTATTTTATAAAATCACCATTTTTTCATTTGATAGGCAAGACACCAAATTATTCTCGGTTACCATGTATTATCTTTTAGTAGTTCTATTGATGGCCTTTGATCTTTTGCCAGTTTTGTATCTGCTGTATTGGTATTTTTTAACTCCAGGACTTGGTACGAGATAGCTAAGGTTTTTCTCTTAAAGGTTGAACCTAAGATTTATTTATATACAATATTTTTTTCTCTAGTACCAATTTTGTAGCCTTTAATGTAAAACTTCCATACAGTCCATACTTTCCTGTGTTCCATCTAACTGTCTTTCCTACACTTTATAGTCTTGCTCAACTTGATAGTATGTACTTAACTGTTAAAAGCATTACTGAGTACACTATAATTTGCTAAAGGGCAGCTACATTGATATTCTGCTTTTGCTATTTCACTTACTACTATACCCAAGCAACAAATGCCATTTGTGTGATTCTGCAGGCTAGAATAGACACATTTTATAAGTCTGCATGAAAGCCAATATAATCTAAAGACTGATTAAAACAATTTTAACATATTTTCTGAATACTATTCCACAGTGCTTATCATTTGTGCTTTTATTTCTAAGGAATACCTAGAGCTTTGGAAATTCTGTTTAGTAAAGGATTTGGAGACTTCAAAATTGTCTTTGTTCTAAACCAGTATAAACTTGAAAATGTGGGGAGTTCCATCAAAATATTTCATTTTACAGAGCATTTTGACTTTGATAAATCTGTATATTCTGATGGATGGCTTGTGTGAAGTTTTCATGGCCACATCTAGGAGTATCACTATCCAAACACTTGCATCCTAATGCATTTGTCATATTTTTTCTAACGAAGAATCAGATTTTAAAAAATAATTAATAAATTGTGATTTATTTGCCATGATTTACAATTTCAGTCAGTAAATTTATGTGTAGACTTGAAGGAGTTCATTTTACTCTGTAAAGCCTACAGTGGCTTGCAACTGGTTACCTGAAAGATCAATTCTCTCCTCTAGTGTTATTGTTCAGTTACTGTAAGCAGAGGTACTCAAACTAGGATCCCCTCTTAATTTAAGCAAGAGGGCAGCTGTCTAGGCATTCTCTGTGAAAGATGTGAACTCACTTTCTTGGTGTGTAACAGTCTGCATATGTACATTTTTGGGCATGTTGCCCTGTCTCTAAATCCTTTTAATATGCGTCTCTCTTTTAGAGACAACATAAGAGGAGATAGATCAACAGGCTAATAGGTAGCATATATTGGGTCTGAATCGGGTATTTTTGTTGTTATGAAAACTGGCTGTTTGATAAGTTTTAGTGTTGCATTTTATATTGGATATTGTTGCTTTTATAACTGAAACAAAGAGAGTATAAGACTGATGTTATGAAACTGAAGTAATATATATGTGCACACAGGAAACCTCGACCTGTCTCTCAGCTGGTTGCACAACAAGTTACCCAACAGTTTGTGCCCCCTACACAATCAAAGAAAGAGAAAAAAGACAAAGTAGAAAAGGAAAAATCTGAAAAGGAAACAGCTAGCAAAAAGAACTGTCATAAGAAAACCAGGTAAAATAATTTAAATGTTTGTGATATTCATAAAAATATTAAATGTTATGAATTTTCACCGGCTTTGCTAGTTCTGCTTATAAACCTGTTAAAATCAGACTAAATAATTACATTGACGTTTCATTGTTAGGAAGTTGTTAGGTAATGTGAAGAACATGACGTTTTTAATCTTGACTAGCGGGAACAGAGTGGAGAGAGTGAGAACAAGAGAGAATTGGATATTGGCATTAAAGGGGGACAAAGTTTTCCTCGTACATAAAAATTATCTGCATCTACAACAAGTACATGTACATGCAAAGTTTCAGTAAATGGGAAGAGGAGGGTGGCAATTCTTCATATAGAAATGGACAGGAAAGGGGAAGCTATCAGTTTCTTGAAGAGCAGAATAGTAGTGTTCTTAGTCACGATACTGAATTTGGGGGTGAGATACAAAGGCTAAATATTGATTTTTTTTTTTTACACCAGAGTCATGAGGCTAAATAAATATGAAATAGTAAGGCTAAGAAATTACCTATTGACAGAAATCAATTTAGTAAATCTGGGTTACTGAAGAAATACTGGATTCTTAGAATACCAATCTGAAATGACAGAGTAAGGAAACAGCCATCAAAGCCTTGATTTTTGCTATGAAGCAGGAACAGTTTGCAGCTAGAAGAAAAAACATGCACAGCAAGATATAAGCAGTTAGTTTTGTCCCAAATGCTCCACAAGTAATGTACTTTAGTCCAAAATATGTAACTAAAATGTTCAAAAGACTGCAATAAATGCAATCTAATTAGGAGGAAGAGAAAAAATGAAATGGCATCACTTAATGTTTTTGGAGGACAACTTGGTCTAGGAAGATTCTGTGGGATCACCTCTACAGAAAAGTAGTAGACATTTCTTATGTGTTGGAAGAAATGAGATTTCTGGGCTTGTCCAGGGGTTAGAAAAGATTGTAAGATGAAAGAAGACACCCCCAAACTAGCATGTTTGTGTTGGCTAGAATTTAAGCCGTTGTTGGAATTCATTTTGTCAATGGGAAGAGAACCTAAATGATATGTTTAGAAATGAGAAAAACATTGTATGGGAATATTGAAAATTCAAAAGTCTTATTATGTGGGAATTGAAAAAAGGTTGACACAGGAAAAAATGGTAGCAATATAAAAGAGGGAACTTGGAGTAAAGTGCCGCTGGACTCAGAATTTACTGAAAATAGCAAAAATCAGATGAGTGGTTTCATTACACATACTCAAATAACACAAAGAAGCAAAAGCAATACTGTACTTGAAGTTGCTATAGTGTTACTGATTGAGACTACTCTGCATGGTTTAAGAGGGTTATTTAATAAAGCAAAGAGGGGGAAAATTATTGCTGCTGCTAGAAATGAGTATAATAAAAACAGTACACATACTGCTGGTTAATTGGTAAGACTTAAAATCCCTTTCTAGCTCTCAGCCCATTTGGGTTAGTAATAGTGAATCTTTCCTTTCCTTGCTACATCATGGAGCAACAAATCAGTTCATTTTTCAGCATTGTCACTTCTGTCCTAGAGGGGGTCCAGTGGCCATTCTAATGCTGCCGCAAATCTCCATAACATGAATGCATGAGGAGTGTTGGCTTACCCTGGTTCTAATTCTGTCAGAGCTATAAATCTATGTGGAGGGTGGGGTAAGAATTTGGCTTTAAGAACACACCACTAAATCATGCTGTTTTCTGTTAATTTCTTTACTTCCAAGTTTGTCCTGGAAAAAGTTGCGGAGTCAGTTAACTATAGGTTGTATAGTTCAGTTTAAGAGGCTTGTTGGGTTTAGGAATGTGAACGATTAAACTATTAATCATTTAACCAATAAGCCCAGTGATAACCAGGTATCATTTAGTGTGGGGTGGGGTGGAGTGGGGCTCAGTCTGGCAGGGAAAGGGGAGAAAAGGGGAAACCACACAGTGCCCCAGCAGAAACCAGAAAGTGGCAAGGCAGGCAGGAGCGGGAGGAGGAGTGAGAGGGCTGAAGGGAACTAGTATCTATAGCCTATGAGGTTGAAGAGGAAAACAGTGGATGGCCTAACGACTTGTCAGTTAAGCTATTAGGTGGTTGTTCATAGGTGCTTCCTCCTTCTCAGCACAGGACTTTTGAGCTGTGTTGTCTGCCTGTTCTGTACCCCATCTCTTCCCACCCACCCCCAGTCAAAGGGCTCTGGAAGTGGCACCCAGCAGGAGCTTTAGCAGAGCTGCTGTGTTATCAGCTAACCATTTAACTGATGTAATTAGAGGAGGTTAAATAGATCATTTAAAAATTATATTTAAATCTCTATTTGAGCTGCGCTGTTCTTATTTGCTGATAATTTCATCTGTTACCTGGTGCTACGATTTTTCTACCTGGCTTGGAAAAAAAGTTAATAAATGGAACTGTTTCATACTTAGATCACCTGCTACAACAGCACCTTGAAGACAGAGGAGTAGAATAGAGTGCAAAACATTTGTAGTTCTGTGGAGCATGGAACTCCAGTTATAGTATGTTAGGGGCACGTCTTCCTGTATTCATACTGCATAGATGCCCATCCATTTTACAAATATATTGTACACCAGGGATCTCAGAATTAGGTACCTCCATAAATCTAGCCCAGTTAGAATAGTGTTCTTTGTGTAATTTTGAAATCAAATTCAATTTGTTTTATGCCTAGCCTCATATTTAGAATTTTCAATATCCTGCAAAATTTGTATTTGACATTAACTTAACTGCAGAAGTTGAAACACAGCTAGTTAGAGGACATGGGATTGGGTTTGTAGCTATCAAATCCTAAGTGTTAATGCCCACTGAGATGAATGGAGGAGTCCGCACTTCTCAGAGCTTTTGCTTTGGTTATCTACAGGCGTGGTTATTACTCCAAATTTCATTTTTAACATTTGTTTGCAGCCACAAAAACTAGCAACTCTTAAATAAATAAAACCTCAGAATGTGGAAAATAGCTTTATGGTCTTACAATTCTGTGGGCCTCAGTTTATGCAATTATGAAGAAGTGTAAAAAGTTTTGCCTATAATTTTTCTTCATGAATTTCAGTGAGGATTTTTTTATGAAAAACGTAAAATACTTTTCCGTATTGCATTCTTAGCTACATGGCGTATTCTTATTTTACGTATTAATAAAATTGCTATGTGCAATACATAACCGAATTAAACTTTTTCCCCAAAGTATGGTAAACTTAAAGGTGTAAGGAAAAAATATTGTGATATGTGGATGCTTTTAATTTGATTATCTGTTCTATTTAGGCCAAGATTGAAAAACGTGGATCGAAGTAGTGCCCAGCATTTGGAAGTTACCGTTGGAGATCTGACAGTCATTATAACAGACTTTAAGGAGAAAACTAAGTCACCACCTGCTTCCAGTGCTGCTTCTGCGGATCAGCATAGTCAGAGTGGTTCTAGCTCTGACAATACAGAGAGGGGAATGTCCAGGTCGTCTTCACCCAGAGGAGAAGCCTCATCATTGAATGGAGAATCTCATTAAAATTTATTTTCTCCAGTTTCTTTAGTCTCTTCTCTTCAAAACATGCAAATATACAACTTCTGCCAACAATTACCACATTTTCATGACAGATTACCCAGGCACAATTAATATGTTTATTGGAATAATTTATGCAGTTTTACAAAAAATGAAGTGAAGCCGGAGAATAAAATAATTTAAATGATGTATATGCTGCATTTATATGCTGCATTTCAGACTAACTTTTTGATTTTCACATTTAAAGGTGCCATGAAAATGTGGTTTGAATGTTCATTATACAGTGTTATTGGTAAGTTCATTTTCACTTTTAGTTTAGTGAATTCTAACACAATTTTTGGATTCTCTACTATTGGCATGTACTGAATTTAAATTTTTATAACATCGTTCAAGCTGCCTAAATATGTATTTGAGAATTGTGAACCATAGTTATATGTATGCAAGTCAAAGATCAACTTAATCAGCTATTGCTGCAACAGAATTTTCATAATGATTATCTTCTTAAAACACCTGCTGGTACTTGGTGTGGTTAAATAGGAAAATGGTTATTAAATAAAACATTTGTATGAATTTTTGCCAATGTTTGACACATTTTACTAGATTACTGTTACTGAATTATGTTGCTGGTTTTACCAATCCTCACACTTAAGACACTTACTGTAATGTTTACAAGTAAAATAGTAAACATATTTGAAGCATTGATTGTTTAGCTTTATAATTCAGATACAGTACTACATTGTCATTTTACACTGGTATTCTTTGTTTTATAATTAACATATTGAATCTCTACATAAGCATTTGGCAAAAAGACTGAAGGTAATTTTAAAATCTGAAATTTTGAAAAAGCTTTAAAAATAACTTAAAAGTGCAGTTCTCATATCTGCTCAGTAGTCATCCCTTGACAGACTTGCACAGTGTCATAGTCAATTTTCAGTTCAGAACAGAAATATTAAATAGTGCACTTGAGTAAGAAAATAACAAATAATGCTATTGCTTTATGTTCAATTTACTAGATCTTGATTTGGCCCTATATTTAATATTGCATCAATCATAAGAAAAAAAATAACCCTATTTTCTGGCATAAACTGTCAAAATTTATGCATTTAGCAATATACCAATATAGAGCAAAAATATTTACAATCCCATCTGGTATTATGTAAAATTACCAATAAAATATTTTTATGAATACAGATTTTGCATTTTTGTTTACAACCAATAAATGTTTTTGATGCACAAAGGTCCATGTATAGATTTAAAAGATAAGTTCAGATTCAATACAAAAATCCATTTGGCTTCTGTAGTAAGGAAGCCCACTTTATTGATTCTCTCCTATCTTTCTCTTGTTCAAAATATATTTTTGGGCCAGTATGAAAGTCGGATAGAATTTTTGGTAGTAAATCCAGCCCTAAAATATTACCTACATTTAAAACATCTCATAACAGCAAAAGTAATGGATTTTTGTAGCCCCTGACAATTGTGATGTTTGGTGGTTTCTTGTAGTAATGTATTTTTCTGTTTTTAATGCAGTACTTCTACAGGCACAATGGTACTGTCTATTTTGTAAGATGCTAGTTGTGAAATACAGTTAGTTGCATAAAATGAAAGTCTGATGTGATATCTAAAAACTTACATACCTCATTCCTTGGTGTTGCTGTTAAGCTTTTAAAAATCCAATGTTAATTATAGGTTATTTCAAATGAATAACTACTGACCTAGTTAAAATGTATTATACTTTATCTTACTAAACAGTACATTTCTTCATTCCAGTTTTCTTCTCAGATTTAAATATCTCTTTAAACATTGAATTTTGAGTTTCATAAATGTTTTTAGGTTGGGGGTGGACTGGGTGTCAAAATTATGTATTTTCCATTGCAAGAATTGGCATACATATTTCTCAGTTTTATTTTCTTACAATATATTTTAGGTGGCACTATGTGCAGAGTGTCCTGAGTTTATGAATTACAGGGAAACCTAATTTTTGGAGTTATAAGTATAATGGTAGTGAATCAGTGCAATGTCCTTGATACAATATGCATGTGAAATGCTAACACATTTCAGTATTTTTGCAAGCATAAAATGGTAATGAAGCACCAATAATTCACTGAATCAGGCCCTTGTTACCATTCAACTTAGTATGGATAGACATAGGTCTGGCAGCAACAGGTCTTTCCATTTGTATAAATAAGCAGTTATTGCTATAATCTCATTAGTAAGGAAAGCAATCTTCAGCATCTCTAAGGGCCAGTTTAATATGTGGTTGAAATGGAACAAGTGACTGTAAAAAAACAAAAAAACAAAAAAACCCAAAACCACAACCCCCCCAGCCCCCTCCCACACACACTTTAGAGACCTCATTTCTATTAATTGAAATTATTTAAATCAAATATTCTCCATTTGTGAAATGGCATGATTTTTTGTTAACTGTCAGTACTACGTACTCCAGGTAGAATCTGAATATCAAGCTGTAGTATGAAGGCAGAAAGAACAAATAATATTTAGCTTGCCATTACTACTGATGCATACAACAATTAGAATTGTTTTGCTTTCCTACAGCTTAAAGCGGTGTGATGATGCTGTTAGCTGTGTAGGAAAAAAATGGTAAAATAAGGCAACCAGACTCAAGTTACTCAACTATTTAACAAGCCTCACCTTTGTACTTTCTAAAAAAAATTCTTCTAAACCAAGTCCTTTTTCTAACTGCAAGTACACAAAACTGTTTGTTACATCTTTATTCAGTTGTAGAAAGTGAAAACCTACCATTATAACTTATTTTGTTAGTTATTCTCCTTTTACTACACTCTGCATAGTGACTGATCATCATCCGTTCGTTACCTTCTAAGTATATACACCATTCTTCATCAGCCATGCATTTTTGGGTGTTTACATGAGATGATCAACAAAGATGAATGTGATGGTGTTCCATGTAAATAAGTTCCTTTGTGCATTGATTGTCCAGTGTTTAAAAAAAAAAAAGCAGGGGGGGAGGGGGGGAGAGGGAGAATGAGATGCAGTTAATTTGCTGTAAAAGTGTACAATAATTCAATGTTTTGTCATCCTGTCTTTGCCACTAATTATAGCTGGCATAAGGAAATGCTGAAATATACAATAGTAGGCTGTGATTTTTCCTTCTGAATTACTAAGTCTGCAAAATGGAAGCAATCAAAATCTGTACCTTGTAATATGTCAAATTCTGCAATGTAAAATGTTAAGTCTATGAGAAATGCCAAGGGAAAAGGGTATATTCAAAAGCTTAATTTTTTTAAAGTTTTGATATGGTGACTAGTCTTGAAACTATCCAGATTATTGTCTAAAATGTTATCCTACTGTACATGTTTCTCTAGCTACTTGATGTTGTATGGCATAGATTATATAGTCCAAGCAATTTTTGAGATTATGGGTTATACTGCACTTTAGATTTTTTTTCTATTGTGATCACAGACAGTGAATTTTATCTAGCCATGTGAATAGTTTAATTACCTTTTTTCTACCACCCTTCTGTGGCACCAGGACATGTCTTCCGAATGTCACACAATTGTGTGATTCTGTCCCTTATAGGTTTAATTCTTCTTCTCATCTCAAAAGACTGAAGTTCTTCCTTAATTATGCAGCTGGCTGTGCTTGTGTAATACAGGATTGAACCAGTTGTGGAACTGTCTCTAATGTGTACCTCCATGAAAATCCTGTTTTTTCTCTGTATCTAAGGTATTTATCTGTCTGTGTTTAATGCCTTTAGTTCCTTCTATTGTCTACTAGAGAGGTGGGCTGAAATTAATTCCCTTTCAACTAGCAGAAGTCATAGTAGAGAGATTAAATTAACCTTTCCTCTGGCAACTGCGTGTACCATATTTGTAGTGGGCTTGATCTGTCTTAGCTCAGGAAATAAGATACATTAAAATGCTAATGCTGTTCTTGGCAAGTGGACCAGTCCAATGTTAGGCTTATTTAACCAGCAACTCCTCGTAACAAAGTGTTAGGATGTGAGGTTGTTGTAAATATCATTTAAAAAGT